GGCGTCTGTGTGAGGTCCAGCTCGTCTGTGTGGAAAATGATAGCTTGCTGGATCATGACAGTGCAATAGGATGCCTTGATTTACTCTGTGGGTGCCAAAGCTTTAGAACGCGCGCTCCAAACAAAACACTGCCGAATGCGAATCTAAAGGGAGTTGTGACGCAACAACTCTTTCCTCACACCTGAAGCCTGACGGCTTGGAAGGTCTGCTGTTCCACCAATCACCCTGCTTGCATCAAATGGCTATGCAAACCAGCATCATGACAAAAACAACAAGCCACTTCACGTCCTCACGGCAGGCGGTCGAGTCAGGTGCAGCACAAGCTCTCAAGTTCAGCACTTACCAACAGTCTCGAGTCTCAACCTTGGAAAAAATATGAAAAAATTGGAAACGAAACGACACTGTAAGCTCGTAGACGTCATGTGGCTTTGTGGTTTGTCAACGATGTTTTCTCTCCCACATCAACCTTTGAAGTTTGACTATGTCTGTGATTGAGCTAGGTTGGAGGCCATAGGCCGGATGCCATTGCTATTTGGAATGCTTTCTTGTCTTAAACTTTAAGTTTGAACAAGCTCCCATATCCTGACACCTCCGCCGAGAGGGGAAGATTTGCTTTTCGGCTGCCAGCTCGCCAGTTTGCATCAAAAAGGCTAGCTCCTTGTCCTTGTCAGGTTTAGTAAGCAACCACGAAGGCCCACAAAGAAAACGGTTTGATCGATCTGACCTGATCTAAACTGCAATGCCTTCTGAAGGTTGGACTGGAATTTCAAGGCTGAGCCAGAAACACATGTGAGCAAAACCATGGGCACAAACCCATACACATGGCAACGGCTCTTTCATAGGCCCCGGCGTAAACACGTACTGAGTCGCGAGTTGAACTACCACACTTCTTTTAATTTATTCTCATAGGTCATATGTCATAGGTCCAGGTGTCTTTCAATAACCTTTCCCGAAACTTGCACCAAACACGACCTTGACAGGGCCAGCCTGGCAAAAAGCACCCGCTCAGCCCCGATGGTTGGTAGCACTTGGGAAAAAACAGCGCGCAAAAGCACGTAAGCTTGTCCAAGCTTTGGAGCACGCGCCATACATGGCCGTTTCACTCTCTTCATGTTTTCACTGACTTCCCCGCCTGTCAGGTGGGCCTTTATACATTTGTTCACAGATAGTATAGTCTTCTCTTCCTTCTGCCCAGCCTCCGCCCTGGACCTAAACTGCTAGTGCCCCATCGCAGTGGGAAGTACCGGACCTCAACAGCAAGCGCCAAGCCGCGGTGGGCAGCACTGGGCCCCAACCGCAAGCGCCAGATCGCAGTGCGCAGTCCCAGACGTCAACACACAACACAAAACCAACAACACACAACCAACAAGACACAGCCAACAAATACACAACCACAAACACACAATCGGAAACACACAGCCACAAGCACAGCCACAAACACACAATCACAAACACACGGCCACAAACGTACAACCAACAAGACACAACCACAAACACACAACCACAGACACACAATCACAAACACACAGCCACAAGCACAACCACAAACATACAACCACAAGCACAATCACAAACACACATTCACAAACACACAACACACAATCACAAACACACGGCCACACACATACAACACAGCCACAAGCACAACCACAAACATACAATCACAAACACACCAGCCACAAGCACAACCACAAACACACAATCACAAACCCAACAACAAACACACAATCACAAACACAACCACAAACACACAACCAACAACACACAACCAACAAGACACAACCACAAATACACAACCACAAACACACAATCACAAACACACAATAACAAACACAACAACAAACACACAATCACAAACACACGGCCACAAACATACAACCACAAACACACAATCACAAATGCACAACCACACATCACGCAAGCACAACAATGTAATTGCCTGTGTGTAGCATTTTGCGTGGAAGGTGATCACTGGGTAGCACTTTCAGATGCCAACTGGAGACCCTGGCAACACCACCAAAATAACAATCCCAAACTCGAGGGCCCATAAGCAAAATTGAAAACCAAAAAAGAACAAAAACTGGCAACATGCGCCTCGCCATGGCATGGATCAATCGAAGTAGAGTATTTTCTTTACGTCGTTTTCGCTTCGTACGCATACAATGTGCTTCACCATGACATCACAAACACACACACACACACACATGGGGTGCGGGGGATGGGGAGTAATAACATTATGGCATGGTAGTAATAACATGTAATAACATATGTTAACGTAGCAGTAATGATTGTGGGTTTCTAGATGGTGTCAGTGAGGTTTTACAGGTTAGTTTGGGGGGTTGAGCGTCGATAAGTATCGTGCTGCAATTTTTTCGGTTCATGATATAGATACACAACTCCATGAGGCAAATGTGTTTGAGCAGCTTGGTTTGCCCTTCTTTAGTGTTGCTGTTGAGACTTTCAGAAAAAGACCCTTGGCTTTCGTTTCCGGATCACCTGAAAGAGTTCTATTTCGTGTTGATGCTACTGATATCTACTTGGATTCTTTGTTTAGGAACTTCGGTGCGCGAGCAGATCTTTGGACGTGATTGTTTGATATTGTTTGAACATTGTGTTGGACCCTGACCGTTTCTGTCTTGACCTCTCATTTTTACGACTCCTAAAGACGTGAAACATCACAGAGGTGTCGTTAGTTTCTGAGGTTGTGAAGTGCTAGTGTTGAACCGTAACTCTAAGGAGTTTTTGATAAGTGGCCCTGCGAATAATGAAGACAAGAAACCATGTATAAGAGCATTTAAAAACACACACGGCCATCTAGGGCACGTACTGGCATACCTAGTTTTAGAATAATTTTCGGAGATTGTCAACATATCCATCGAGTGTGCATCGAAACACTTGCTGGGCAAAGCCTCTGCATTTGCTCATTCCTTTTGCTGACAAGCTTCTGCCAGATCATCTCGAAGTTTTTTTCAGGCGGGGCAAGTTGTCCAGGCTTGCTGCTCTCGGCGGGCAGCGATATCTTTGAGACCACATTTGCAGCTGCTCTTCTGGCGGGAGGGTATGACGTGAATGGCACTTGGTCTTGTGGTGGGAACCTTTGGATGTGCAAGGGCTAGTGGATACAAGTGCTAGGTTTTGCCTTGCCACCAAATTTATATATATATATATATATGTAATCTTTGATTGACTCACTGGCTTACCCTCCCTCAGTGATGGGTTCACAAACAAGTACTGCCATAGGAAGACAGTGTGTCACTCAGTAGTTGTACCCGGTACCCGAGACAAAGTGTGACTTAGCCTTTTTGCCTTCGAGGCACCTGGCAAAGCTGCTTGCAGCGCATCGGCTGAGCGGCTAGACAAGCGATATCGCGAAGAAAAATCTGAAGATGCCTTCGAAACATTGGCAGGTCACTAGTCACTAGGCAAAGCTTCCCGCAACAATCCAACTTGATTGACTGTAATTAATTACAATGCAAAAAAGGAGGGATGACACGGTATGATATCACGTGTCCGAAAATCAATACAACCCTGCTTGCGAGACAGTACCAATACAATATATTGTACATTATACATATTACATATACTGTATTATATTGATATTGTATTCAATAGCTCCTAGCATGAAACGTGCGCGTGAAACATATTACGACAAATGTCATGGACGCACACAGTGGCACATGCTTCATGATCATGACACTTACATTACATAACCTTATTTTCGTAAGAATCCTACCAACTTTATGTTCCATGTTGTCTCCTTTGTAATTTGTTCTCAGTCGCTTCAGAGATCGTGTCAAACCAGTTGAAAAGGATGCTTTGAGCTCTTTGCGCCTGCGAGGCAGGTATGGCGTTAGTGTGCATCATACATGCACAGGTCAGAGCATAGTAGTGTAATTTGTTGAATCTGGACGAATTAAGCTTGAAACGTGTCGCCCATTCCCCATCCATTCGTGCGAGAAGTCTCTTCAGCGACTCTACAGTTCCCGCTCTGGTACTATGACTTCTCTGTCCGATAGCAGGTTTTTGTCTGTGACAACACTCGCGTCTCCAAAGTGTGTCCATCGGCTGAAACACAATGAAACATGATTCGACAATCCTTTGCTGCATTTCCCTCCATGGGCCATGGGCTCAACAAATCAATTCATCTCAATTCCATCTCACTCAGAAAGTACTTGCCTCATTCATTGCCAGGCACTGCGGCTTTTGCTGGCTCTCCTTCTGTACACTTTGTGCCAAAGCTGCGACACTTGGAATGCGCGCATTGCCAGGCGAGCTGCAATGCATGCCATGCTGCGCTAACAATAGCATAGCTCTGATATGCTCTGATTACCCTGCTTTTTATTTTCCAAGGGAGTTATGGCATGTCCTGGCGTTATGTGTGCTGGACAATCTTCTCTTCCTTCCAAACTTCAGGTAAGTTGACTGAGGCATCGGCTACACGGTCGAAATCTGTCCGGTTCAAACGATCACCTATGGAACCCAGTCCCCTGACTGAAGTTGCTCCCAGTCCCAAACTCAGTGATTTGACTCTTGAAGTCTCTTAAACTCAATGATCTGTGTTTTGTTCTCTGAGAACGACACGATTAGCCAACGCCAAGTTCTGAGACAGCACCGCAGGTTCAAGCCTTTGCATGCTTCTACAAAGCAAGAAACGGGCAAGAGTTGTGCTTCACTGCTACTTCACTGCTAATTTGATTGACGAATTGACGAAACGTGTAACAACAACAGGATCAACAAGGTCGACATTGAGCGCAGGGCCAACTACAAATTTGGGCCGCTTGAAACTGTCGCCGCTGATCTACCTGCTTTCTGCTGGTCAAATTCCATTATATAAATCCCAGCGTGCCGGTTTTTTCAACAAAAAGGGATCGCCTGTTGTGAAGGAGGCATGGAGCGCCTCAGGAAAGCCGCAAGACTGCAGCGCAACATGTCAAACCTGCTTCTGATTCTCCACAATTCAAGCTTGGACGTCGCAACAGCCATTGCGCAAGTTTCGATGATGTCGCTACTATGTCCACCTCATGAGGTCACTTTTGTGTCTCTCACATGCTGCCAGCCAAGCAAGAGATGCTTATTGAACTGCAGCGAGCCCAGGGTCGTATACCTCACCCACCATGTCCTGCCAGGCACCAACCAAAGCGTCTGCTTGGCGACTGGGTGACATGAGCAGCATGAACTTCATGCAGCTAAAAGAACCAAAGAACAATTTCGCTTTTAGGGTGGTGGCCAGTCACTAGGAACAAGAAGCTACTAGGAGCTCCTGGCATCGCTACTAGGAACAAGAAGCTACTAGGGGCTCCTGGCCATACTACTAGGAACCTCTTCCTAAAGAACTAAAGAAGCAGCTCCACATCCTTGGGTGGAGGAATCAGTTCTCCGACCCACCTGCAGGGCGACGAAGAATGAGCCATGGACAAAAGTGGGCTAACAACTGATACAGCGACAAACAAGAAGAACATGATACAATCAGTGGAACAATGCAAAAAACATATTGTAACATTGTAATGTTGGCGCCTTGGTGTCCGCACCCAAGCTCTAAGCGGCATTGGTTGAAGCAAATCCTCCAAATACAAACGCACTGCATTGGGTGTGTACCAGGCATCGCAAGCAGTTGGGTGCCTGACAAGGCTGGTAAACATCCAGAACAATGAACACTACCCTCAGCAGGTGGTTGCCAATAAGCTCTAGAGTTCAATGAGTTCAACTAATTATATATAGTTATATAACCATTTGCATGGCATTCTTGAAACGCAGAAACCATTAGCATCACGCTACTGACCAAAGCGACTTCGCAATCAGTAGCCATTGGGAAAAGCCTGTTAGCCCTGCTGATTGCAAGGCGATACTGTAGGCCAGTGCAAAATGCATGATCCTCTTGTTTGACTGATGTGGCGAGACTGATGCTTGCCACAACTTGGTCAAACCATCGATGGTGTTAGATTTTGTCGAACGGTCAAGTTCTCAAGCGCTCCTTGATTAATAATAGGAATGTGTTGTTTCTACGTGTCTGTTGTGCTTGGTCCAGCCGAGTTTAACCGCAAGTGCTGTGTGCAAACAATTGTGGCACGTTTGTAAACTTCACCTACGCAGTGCCCAGTTCCATTCAGTCTTCTGTATCCGGGCCAAGCACACTCAGCGCCCTATGAAGCTTCTTCAGTGGCCTTCAGAGTTGCATGAAACCTTCAGGAGAAAGTGATCGCAAAACAATAATTTCTACCTGGTATTCTCGCCATCATTGCCACAGCCATCTTCGTTGGCAGCAAAAACTGTGCGATCCCTGCTGCCCCCCTGCGACTTCTGTACAACAAATTGTGAACATATGTGAAAATGGTTGTGTAAAACTCCCAGTGACGGAGGTAGACACACGCACACATTGAGGCCTGCACAAGAACCCTCCACATCTAAGTTCTGTTGTGGGATGTAGTCATGAGGATTCATGATGTATTGTTTTCAATTATGCCATTGCCGAGGACAATAGCAACAACAAACCTTGCTCCCAAGCTGCCCGATGAAACGAGTGTGGGCTCGAATCTGATGGCGTCGTCCAGTATAAATCTGAATGACAACCAAAGAGGCACCTGCACAAACAAATGGGCACTTATGGCCTATGACTTTTCGTGAAGAGGCATGTCAACTGTTTCGAAAGGGATGATAAGGACATTAGACTCTGGAATGCAAATCCGGCCATGCAACTTTCCCAGCCCTCAGTACAAGTGTACACCACGGCAAATCCAACAGCACAAGAATGTGGTAGCGGCTGCTATCAAAACCAGCCTCCCAAAAGACCGCCAGAAGCAGTGTTCAATTGAGCGACAGTGCGAAGACGTGTCTCCGCCGGCAGGCCGTTGTCTTGCGTTAGTGTCCTTCAGACTCTCACTCTGTCTCCCTCTCTTTCTCCCTTTAACCCTAGTATGCGATTCACGGTCTTTAAGTCCTTGAGTATTTGTGAAGGCCTCGTGCTGCAACTTCAGCTCTTATCGTGACCATACGAAGTGTCTCACCCAAGCCAGTGCATACAACAATGTATTCCCCTCAGCTTCAATGCGTAAGGAAGCTTCAATGACCGCAAACACTTTCAGCCTACAAGTCTCCTGCGCAGCGATAGTGCCAAGAAACTATCGATTGCACAAAGCGCCTTCTGCCACTGCAAACAAATCAAGCCATCAAAGGTCCTAGCTGCCAAAATCAAGCCTGAACTGGCGACGTCTAGGCGATGTACAAACCCAAAGCCATAGTTGAAATCGTATAACAAGTTGTTTTCCTGCGAGCAGCACGGCTTTGGTCCACGACTGAGGTGCTGGTAACGATCCGACAAAACAAAGAAACACATAGACAGAAGCAATGTAAATACAACTGCATAATTAATGGACATCTCCGAATGTCGACCCTCAAACTTCTAAACTAAACATAAATTCAACACTGATGAGACAACAAATGAATCCTCTCGCCAGAGTGGTCCTCCGGAGGAAGTTGGCTTTGTAGGAACATGGAAAGGCTGAGTGCCTCTGATTGTCCTTCGGCCGATGTATCCACTTCCCATCCAGGAGGCTTCAGCGCCACTACCATACCGCGACAATTAAGAATGACTATGGGCTCGTTCAACTCCTTGGGCAAGGAGGCCATCTGCAAAGGTCGATCTGGCCGGGGCCATCTGCATCTGGAAGACTCAAGGACACGGGCCAAGTGCCGGAGCCCAGCGTAAAGGTCACCTTCCACATCCCTTCCCAGTGACGATTGAAATCTCAAGGCCCATGCCAAAGACAATAGGCTGAATATCAAAGACCGCACTTCCAGCTCATTGGAAACTGAACGCAGCTGATGCCTCAATGCAACCTGTGCCTGGGCGCCGATGGTTCTTCTGAGCAAGATTGACAGGATTTGACAGGCTTGCACAATTCCGATGCTTCACGGTACTTCCAGGAAGCCCTTGTAGCTTCTTGTTACTAGTAGAAAGAATGCTCCTAGCAGCGATGCCAGGAGCCCCTACTAGCGTCCTTGCTCCAAGTAGTAAGGCCAGGAGCCCCTAGTAGCTTCTTGCTACTAGTAGTAAGAGGCTTGCACATTCTGACGCTTCACGGTACTTCCATGACTTCCACGTATTTACACCCTTAGGGCCAACCACTACCTTGGCCTCTTTTCTGACACTATGTTTTTCAGCGAGACTTACCCTGAGTTTTTAAAGTGCACACTAAGGAGCTGCAGAAGCAAGTTGAGTCAATAAGGCAGTTTTTTGATGTGCGCAATTTGAGCGGCTCACGGCCACGGCCCAGGCCAAGTTCGCAAGGCCTCTGATGTCGAACTCATTAAGCTTCTTCAAAGCTGCATCAAACGCAGCATGCAGAAAACGTCCATGAACTCCGACCTTGGAGAACGGTCAAACCATGTCAAGTTTTTCATGAACAACACCTGCTATTACCTGCTCTTGCCACAACCTACCTGAACAAATCCAAACTATGACCGCTATGACATACCATAGGAGTATTTTATCATATTTGATCTATATGTTCGATTGATCGAACTACTTGGGTGGGTACCGCCCCACCGGGTCGTCGCGGACTGTGCGCGGAAACGTGTTGTCGGAAGGTAGTTGGGATGGTTTGGGGTGGGATAGTGATGTTGATGTTACATGTGAAACAGCTTGTCAAATGTTTTTTGGGTGGGGTGGGGGGGATAACGACGTTAATGTGAAGAATTTAAAGGGTTGTTCATTTCTGCAAGGCAACATTAGAAACCTTCACGCTGGTTTTGCGTAGTTACGAGTTACGAGGTTGTTGTGGTTTGCAGAATGTTGTAGTTTCCACTGCATCTTTTGGCTGCCAGGATGACGGTGTCGGATGTTTCAACGGTGTAGTGTTTGGTTGTGTTGTTTCGTTTGTGTGGTGTTAGGGAATGGCCGCCGCATAGGGATTTGGAGTGCCTGGGACCTCTCTTTCGCATATCTTTACGGGTTCCCCTGTTGGATGACACCCCGAACTTCGCTGCGCAAAAATGCTTGATTTGCGACAGGTCTTGGGTTGATTGGGATCTGGTTGGACACACCCTTGAGCATTTAGTTTCGTTGTTGGTTGTAGTCATTGTAGTTCTGTCGAGGGAGAAACCCGCTGCTGGTGCAATGTGTCAGGACTTCCAGAAAAGGTGATGACAAAAACTTGAGATGCTGCACGAGGTTTGCCGCTCGTTTTTTTTGACGCTCCGAAACCTACATCTTGAACACATTTCAACCATGAAAACGCGCGACGCCTGAGTGGGGTCGATCCCTTTATGGGTGCTGTCCGCACCTTTCGTGACTGTTCGCGGCCACCTGCGCCCTTTGACCCACAAAATCATCTTGGAATCCAATCTGAATTCCATGCGGCTTTATTTATGCAGCTTATATTGTTGCCCGACCGAGGGAAGAACCTGCTGCATCGCCACTCTGAAGCTTGAGGACATGTGCCATGGCTGCAGAAATGTGGCGCCGCAAGCTAAGATCTGTTAATCTTCATTCCTTTCAAGTTCTTCAAGGGTGTTTCTCGCAAGAACAAGTCATCACTTCAATTATCAAGTGCGAACAAGGCTATCGTCAAACGAAATTAGACTTCAACTGGGCTTTTACTTTTAATGTTATCCTATTATACTATGGAACGGTGCCATGTTCTGCCGGTCCTGTAGCACTGTGGCTGCAAAAAGCTCATCAGGTACAAACATGTTACAAGAGTGGTCGAACAACAGCAACACTGGAATCTGGAATGTAGAATGTACATACATGATGGCAGCATGTCGCAATACGTCGCAATACCTGCGCAAGGACTTCACCCCAAAAGAAAGACAACAAAGGCTTGTTCAAGAAATTCATCCACTTTCAAAAAACTATAAACATCTATAAACTTAGTCAGAATGCGTGCTATTTTGATCTATTCTGAGCATATTCCAATGGGATGAAATATAAGGGGCTTCCGCATCATTTCACTGAATAGTGGAACGTTTCCTGCTGTTAAATGGTTGCTGAGAGCATGGCGTTGCAGGGCCTGGGCTGATTGCAAAGGCCTGGCATCGGAGTGTGAATTCCAACGGGAAAGCATTTCCGACGGGACACATTACTAGTAGTAAGAATGCTCCTGGTAGCGATGCCAGGAGCCCCTAGTAGCGCCCCTGCTCCTAGTTCTAAGGCCAGCCCCTAGTAGCTTCTTGCTAATGTAGCTTGACGTGCCAACATGTCCATTTCTCTACAATACCCACAAGTGGCGTCCAATGGGGCCTGTGCGAAGGCATTGATGTCAAGCCTGCCGGTATTCTTGGACACCTGCAAGGATGCAACATTTAAATTTTATATAGATAGAACTGGTGATCCGGCACAAGTGTCGCGGTCCCCAACCTCTGCGAAAATCAAGTCGCTCTCCTGTAGTGTCACCTTCGGAACTCTCTGTTTGCCGCGTTTTAAGTCAAAATGTAAAACAATGTGTCCGTGCTTTTTGTTCCCTGTTTTACTTCAATCCTTTTCAGATTTGTCAACATCCCACCAAGTGTCGAACTGTGGCGGTCTCCGCGCACAGAAACCATACATCATCCAGAGTCCATGCACTCTTATTGTTGATACTCCAACATCCCCAATGATAGTCCACAAATCGCTGCTCTACACGCTTTCGTCGAATAGCATGCATTCGTCTGACACATTCGTAACAAAAACATTCCATACATGCAAGCATGCAAGCAAGCATGTACTAAGCATGTAGTAGTACAGTAGTGTCTCTTCACCCGGTCAGGTGCAATGCATTTCACTTCCGCTAAGACTTCGGCCCTGCAGTCGCAGGCAATCAAAAAGCGATAGAACTCTGTCTGGTCCAAGAACCCGTTGCCTCGTATATACATGTATATATACTTGCTCCCCAAAAGCAGGCTGCAATTCGCAAACTGCAAACTCACATCACATCAGTTTCAGAACTTTTATCAACACGCAACAAAGCGACGATTGTAGTCGAAGATAGCGAAGGCATCTTGTACACTGCAGCCTGGTAATGAAACCGCAATGCCCATGTCGCAGCATCTTGCCATTCTCCTTTCACTATTAACTCATGACTATGACATCCTATGTTTTCATGTTGCATCCTTCTTGATCCTTGCGTGACAAACCTCGTGCATAAAGGCTTTGGGCGGCTTGAGCAATTCGAGACATCAGTGCCTGGCAAACCAAACAGCACCAAGATCAATAGACCGGTGATGAGCGATGCCCTTTGCTCCTAGTAGCGATGCCAAGTACCGTCCTTGCTCCTAGTAGCTTCTTGCTCCTAGTAGTATGGCCAGGAGCCCCTAGTAGCGTCCTTGCTCCTAATAGCGATGCCCTTTGCTCCTAGTACCGTCCTTGCTCCTAGTAGCTTCTTGCTCCTAGTAGTATGGCCAGGAGCCCTAGTAGCGTCCTTGCACCTAGTAGCGATGCCCTTTGCTCCTAGTAGTGCGACCAGGAGCCCCTAGTAGCGTCCTTGCTCCTAATAGCGATGCCCTTTGCTTCTAGTAGCGTTCTTGCTCCTAGTAGCGATGCCCTTTGCTCCTAGTACCGTCCTTGCTCCTAGTAGCTTCTTGCTCCCAGTAGTAAGGCCAGGAGCCCCTAGTAGTGTCTTTGTTCCTAGTAGCGATGCCCTTTGCTTCTAGTAGTAAGGCCAGCAGCCCCTAGTAGTGTCCTTGTTTCTAGTAGCGATGCCCTTTGCTCCTAGTAGCTTCTTGCTCCCAGGAGTAAGGCCAGGAGCCCCTAGTAGTGTCCTTGTTCCTAGTAGCGATGCCCTTTGCTTCTAGTAGTAAGGCCAGCAGCCCCTAGTAGTGTCCTTGTTTCTAGTAGCGATGCCCTTTGCTCCTAGTAGCTTCTTGCTCCCAGTAGTAAGGCCACGAGCCTCTAGTAGCGTCCTTGTTTCTAGTAGCGATGCCCTTTGCTCCTAGTAGCTTGTTGCTCCTAGTGGTAAGGCCAGGAGCCCCTAGTAGCGTCCTTGTTCCTAGTAGCGATGCTCTTTGCTCCTAGTAGCTTCTTGGTCCTGGTAGTAAGGCCAGGAGCCCCTAGTAGTAGCGATGCCCTTTGCTCCTAGTAGCTTCTTGCTCCTAGTAGTAAGGCCAGGAGCTCCTAGTAGCGTCATTGCTCCTAGTACCGATGCCCTTTGCTCCTAGTAGCTTCTTGGTCCTAGTAGTATGGCCAGGAGCCCCTAGTAGCGTCATTGCTCCTAGTAGCGATGCCCTTTGCTCCTAGTAGCTTCTTGCTCCTAGTGTATGGTGCCATTATGTGCCATTGGATCACCACACTTTCAGTGGAGCAAGTTCTTGGGGCAAACACTGGCTGCAAGAGCTTTCACATTCAGCCCTTCCATCCATGGACAAGCTGTAAATGCATGCTGTTGAGAGCAAACAGTTCTTGACTTTGACGGCGCGACAGCCCTTTCTTCAAACCACCCCCACCTGATCCACAACATTTTTCTGTTCTGTCGTCATGAATCCCAGGCCACGCTTGAAGCCTGTGCAGGAGAAACAAGAAATTGCGAATTACAAAGTTGACAAGGAACTTACCAGCTCCCACCTTCGAAGTCCACAATGCCAGAAGCTCTTGGATCAAAATGACGGAACAACGCGTCCAGCCTTGAGTTTCTTGAAGTTTCTGGATGTTTGTTGTCATCACTTATAAGTAACAGCTGACATGCACACGCAACGAAAGTGAACTTGAGTCACGGACTGTTGACCAGTCAAAGCTGGATCGAAGGTGCGGGCCATCATAGCAATGTCCTCATACCTGCCAGTCAGTCGCAGCCGCAGTTTCTTTTGCAAATTGGATCCTAACTCACTTGTCTCCTTAGGCGCTCCAGGCATTGAAGAACATCGTCGATTATTGATCTTTCTCGTTCCTAGAGGATGTTGATGCAGAACTTGCCAATTCATCCTAAGTTTATTAAGCCTAGGTGATCCCAGGCATGTATACAATTGCGCACATGTCTTTTTGGGGCAAACTCCTGTGATGTACTTGAGGCCAGGGGGGAGGAGGTCGAAAGCTAGCGGAAGCGCACCGGACTTTTTCGGCTGAGAATTGTAAAGAGGAAAAAAGTTAAAGCAGGACAAATAAGAGTGCTTATGAAAGGCTGAGGAGAAATAAGAGTGCTCTATTGGGTAAATTTACCCCTCAGATTTTGTAGAAGCTATGGCAAGCATTTCTTGCATCACTGATGTGTGGGTGCAAATAGAGCTGGAGGCCCTCTCTGGACTGCCCCAAAGAAGCTTGACTTACGTTTATATAACTGATACTTTGTAACCGGCAAAGGCCTCCAAAAGTGGGGGGTAAATTGACCCCTCAGATTTTGTAGAAGCTATGGCAAGCATTTCTTGCATTATCTGATGTGTGGGTGCAAATAGAACTTGAAGCCTCCCCTGGACTGCCCCAAAGAACCGGCAAAGGCATCCAAAAGCGGGGGGGAAATTTACCCCCCAGATTTTCTAAAAGCAATGGCAAGCATTTCTTGCATTTTTGATGTGTGGGTGCAGCCCCCCTCCGGGTCTTGAAGCAGTAGAGGACTGCAATGAAGCGCCACGCAGTAAGGTGTCCCTGTCTGCGCGGCCGGGTGTTTCTCTGAACCTGTAGCTGTTAAGAAAGACAGTAAAGGACACATCATGCATTCAGTGGAATGGTGGTATGCACCACAACAATAAGCGAAGCGGCGCAGCTGGGAGTTGAACCGCGGGGGGGGGGGGGGTAGCTTGATATATCAATCTTTAAGGCACGCAGCCCCTCCCACCACAACATTGCTAAAGCAAAGAAGAACTCAGCTAGCATGCTAGCTTTCGTGATATACGTGTGCCATATGCTGAGAACACTGCAGGAGATTGACCCCATGTAATCCATGACGTGTTCCATCCTCCACTGCCGACGCAATTGCAAGCTGTGACTTGAGTTACTAGTAGCGTCCTTGCTCATAGTACCCATGCCCTTTGCTCCTAGTAGGTTCTTGCTCCTAGTAGTAAGGCCAGGAGCCCCTAGCGTCCTTGCTCCTAATGTATGGTGCCTCTGGATGCCAGGCATCCGTGGCCTAATTATTTCTGCTCGGGGATGTTTCGGGCAACTGCTTGTTTCGGGTGGCACCAGATTTCATCCATCAACAGTACCAGGTACCAGAGTTTGTCCCCATAATAAAGTGACATGTTCAAGCAAACTGTTTTCCGCACTGAGGGTGGACGCAACATCCATTAGCACATATGCAACGACACCAGTGGTGTTCAGCATGGTCTCAATAGGCCCGCAAAAAGGCCTAGGGCCTAGGCCTAGGCAGCATAGGTTGCTTGGTGGGACACTACCTGCACCAAATCCAACAAAACCCATAACATCCCCGCTTCGATCCCTTTCCCACCAAAGGTGATATCACATTGGTTCAATGCACACATCCGTGACAAACACTATGTCGCACTCACAACATCTTCATCAAAGTAAAAGCCAAAAGAACAGCAAATAGGCGCAGCATCCAAGTGCAAAAACATGCCCAAAATGTGTGTTGACAAGTCGAGCATTCGACTGGGGAAACACATGCCTTTCCAGTTTGCAGATTCCCCTCCCCATAGGAAAGTCGAAGAGTTCCTACTCTATCTGCCAATAGCTATCATCTAGGATCCTGCCTCTTGGGTGAATGAGCTTCATGTTGTCTTCTTTTTTGTATTCTCTTGTTCAATTGATCGATAGATAGATAGATATATATATATACTGTATGCATTTATAGAAGTAAATACATATATATATATATGGGCTCGTATATATATACACGTGATTATACATGATTACAGCATATTACAGTATATAAAACATATATATATATGTATACTGACATGTTTTTGGTCTGATATATGCGTGCGCGTACACCACAGTAAATATATGATGTGCAAACCACTTCATTGCGCTTACATCTGGACTCGAATGTGTTGTATACACAACACAAGCTTGCAGTACATATGCATATGCGCAACTTAAAAGATGACATGGACATCTACTGTTGCATTCGGATTGCCTTTTTCATCCTTTTTCCGTTTCTTCCAGAGTTTGAGGGTCTGTGAACACTCCCAAGATTCAGAACAGCCAAGTGTATGCTTTCAACATTGCAATCAACGCCTGAGGTAGCCCATTCCCGTGTCGAGCTTTTGGAACAAGTCCAGCACTTCAACGCCAGCCTTCTGCAGTGGGACGTTGCTTTGGATGGCTTTTGACCAAGTTTCTCCTGATTCCGGAAGAAAGTCTCTTGGAATCTGTCCTAATTTATGCTTGTCTTTTGTGGGGCATAGTTTGGGAGCTGGAGAAAAAAGGGCGTGTCTCAACATTCTCGAGGCGCACGTGGATCAACAGGTTGGACACCCTCACAACGTTACACTGTAATTATAAACTTTGTGCGGTAAGAATATGTAAGAATGCTCCGTTGCACACTCATTTGCAAAAGAACAATATGGGCAACAATGTTGGAGGACTGCTCATCGTCAGCGTGGGGACAGGCTGTTGTGCTGTTGCGCTATAGCATTCAGCCTTTGAACACAAGCTGACTTGGATGAGCGCAGCACTTAACTGACAAAACATGTAAAGCAACCAAACTTTGTGTCTTCAGGCTGTCTGCCGCAATTCACGTAAGGATCAGCACGCCTGCCTTTTCTAAACTAAGCTGCTCTTGGCACACGGCGTCGCAGCACTGCTCATTCATCCATCATTCATCCGCGTCAGGAATGCGAACTGGCTGCACCATTGAGGAGTCACCTCCAGTTGTAGGGTCGCCCCACGTTATTACTGTTCCGTCTCCTTTCACAGCAGCGAATGACCCGTAGCTGCCACAAATGCTGAGAACCTGGGTTCACAAGTTTGATCACGAGTGGATGTTGGGCCCGTGCGATGAGGACGATTTTTCACAGCTACGCAACTGCGCAACGACAAAAGCCGTTTGTGGCTGAGGCACGCCCTCTTGCAACGCAGCATGGACACTGGACGAGTCGCCGCCACAATGAAGATCACCCCAGGTTACCACCGCCCCACCAGCCTTAATGAGGTGGATTGATCGCTGGCTTGGCGCAACTATCCCCATCATTCCGTTTATATCTCTGGTTCGTGTCTATGAGGATATGTCACAGTTAGCAGTTTACAACACATTCCGGTTCCCGGTTGGAGGCCATTGTTATTTGGTTGGAGGCCATCGCTTCTAGGTTGGAGGCCGTCACTTCTCATCGCTTTTAGGTTCCCTTTGAATGTTTTTTTCCATCCCAAATCCAGTCCTTCACTGCTGCAAAGGCCCGGTATGTGCTGTAGATCTGCCGAACTTCTACAAGCTGAGATGAAACTGCAGTGCAGTCTCCACCAGCACAAGGGTCACCCCATGATATTACCTTGCGGTGCGCAGAAGGTGCTTCTGAAGGGTAATTTGCACCACAACAAGAAGAAGAACAAAAGCAAGAACAATCATAAAAAAGCTGAGTATGCCTCCCTCTTGTGTCTCCCTGAGTCTGGTTCCTCTCAAAGAGCGCAGGTTTGCTACATGTTTGATTACCAAACAGCCCAATCATGTCCAAGCAAACCTGAGGTTTGGTGAAGCTGCAGTGCCATCTGCTCGTACAGCAGCAAATGCATAGCCGGTGCTGGAAAGCTGCTTGACATTGTTCCAGTCAAAGGTTAAACTTAGTCAGCGGCTTCAGCACGTTTCAACTCTGCAAGGAACCAATGGCTTTGGCTTCGTGCGACACTTAGATATTGATAGCCAACGACCACTCACTCACTAGCATAGCTTGAGTCAGCTTGGCCAACGCCCCAATATTGCCACATGCTTCGCAATGCTCTGGCTAAACTGGAATGCCTCGCGCCATGCCTTGCAAGCGACTGGAAGGAATTCCCACCAAGCTCTTCATCGCCCCAAGTCCTAGGCTCACTAAGGTCTAGAGCCTAGAGCTTGCTCAGTGCTGTTGCAGATCTGTTCAGACACGACGTCTCCTTCATTCTGGGATTGGGATGACTTGGTGAAGACAATGGAAGGCAATGCAATATCAATATCAAACAGCCTAGTCACTTCCAACCCCCAACCCGGTGCTGCGAATCCATTTTTTCTCTGAGCATCACAACTGCTCAGAAAGCCAACTACTGCTATGTCTAGTGAAAACCTCCCTCAACACACGTTGAACTGAGCAACTATCTAAGTGCGTGGCACAACAGAGCCATCGCCCTTGCGAGCAGCAAAGGCCCCGCTCGTGTGACACAAGTCCACCACTCCAGAAGAAAGTTGATCCCACACATCCAAAGAGTCCCCACCACTGTTCTCATCACCCCAGGTCACAACGACCTGGGTTGCCGATTGAGGACTAGCCAGGCCAAATGGAAATCTGAGCAAGCCTAAGTACATTCACATTAACTGCAACGGCAGGCACCCCGTGACTGGTTCGCGCAGCAAACGCACCACCAGTTGCAGCAAGCTGGACAACATCCTCGACACCATGGCAAACACAGGCAAACAGGTAGAGATCCAATCTCATGGCCGCAAAGTCATTGTGCTTTGATTGCACTTGCTGTCCCTTGCTGCCCTATCTGTCCTTACCTTTTTACTTTATTCCAACTCGCAAATTTCAGCTGACTGCAACAAACATGGGGAGACTCCTTCAGCTGGTGGGACACGTCTGAGGAGTCGCCGCCCCACGCTCGTTCACCCCATGTCACAACCTCAATTCGCCGGAAGGTTGCTTCAATGCACTGCACTGCGGCCATACATCACACACACATACACACACACACATATATATATATATGTTATACAGTAAATCAATGTATAAATCATATCATATATCACACACCGTGGTCATCGCACCTCCTTGTTCAGAAAAACGAGGGGGGGTGATCAATTCAGGACAAAGTGCGCGGCCATCTGATCTCACTGCCTGCCCACATGGCTGGCGGAAAATCAGTAACACACGTGGTGTGCACAGCTGGCACTGCTAGAACGATCATTGAGGGATTTCCATGTCGTCTTGTCTCTGCCATCTCAATGTTGCAGACTCAAAATATGCTACAGCTGGTGCATCCCAGGGGCCGCACAGGCCCGAGCAGTGCCACAAACACATGTTACATTGACGAGCTGCTGGGTCACCTCTTGAACCTCAGGTGACGCTGCAACAAGTGACCATTTATATAATCTGTCGAGCTCTCAAATCTGCTCTACTTCATATATCATGCTGGTAGGGCCATGTTATGCTTCAAAAGGCTAAGGGGTGGACTGGAAAGGCCAGCTCTTCATCTCCCCACATCACCAGCTTTCCTCAAAGGCAAACGTTGAGTTTTACATGATAGCATGTTAAGACTGTTAAGGCAACTTGCTCAAAATGCAACGGTGTATCCGTCAGACTTGGAGGCTGCAAAAACCTTGTACATTCCTCAGGGCAAATCCCGCACAATCATTGCTGCTGTCATTCCATTCCATTCAGTGATCCGCTTTAAGGCTCCAAATTGCACTGAGAACTCATCTGCTGGCTCTGAAACAGCTGCGCAGCTGAAACACCATAATCCGTCCACCAAAGCACACCACCCAGCCGAGATTCCAGAAACCTTTGTGACGCCTTGACCTGAAACCACGTCTGAGCAGCTCTGTGCTGCCACAGGTCTGGTTTGCGTTAGTCACCGTTAGTCTTAGCACATATTTGTACCATCACCCATGCATCCCCAACAAAAGCTTCGCTGGATGAGTTCAAAGATGCAAAGGCCACTGCACCGGAGACATTTCAAAACTGAAAGACACATCCCCAGTTTAGTCGTTTGCTGAGCCAAGCCGAGCTGCCCAAATGTTTGGATATGGGTTCGGCATCGCCACCACATAGAGCATCACCCCAGGCTACGACCTAGCAAACATTCACAAGCCCTGTGCTTCGGCATGTCACTGTCTATGCATGTGCACAAGCTGTGAGGATCATTTCCGCTACAAGCACAAACTTCCAAATGCTGGCCCTAGGAAAGCGATGTCACTACGCCTTACGGACACGTTTTGACATTTGGCACCGTCAAGTCATGTGACCTGGCAAACCTGATATGAACATGTACAAGGCATTACAACATCACTTACAAGGCCTTCTCAGCTTCACACAGAGCCATTGGCTTTGAGTGCAGCAAATGCTCCCGCGGTGTGGCAAACCTTTGAAGTTAAGTGCTGGTGTTCTCTCAGCTTGAAACTGCAACAGCCTTCATCTCATCAAAAAAATTACGAGTCAAGCTACGGATACCACCCCAGTCTTCAAGTGCTGGGCTACTTCAGAAGACTTGCCACCAGATGTTGCCTCACCCCATGTCACAACCGAGCCATCTACCTCGAGGGGACAAAAGGCATCATGATGCAAATAATGATCATGTGGATGTATCATGATGTATCCAAATATATGCTGCATATTGCTGCATCATGAAACGTCCTTTTGACTGGAACATTGCATGTCTGGCGTCCAGGGCCAGGTAGAGGCATGGGCTTTGAATATGGTTTATGGCCGGCCTTCGTGGCTGCAAAAGCGCCCCCCACTGCCACTCAGTGACACTACGCCCACCAAAAGCCCATCATAACTCTCGTCACTGCTATCGAATGCCTCGCAGCACTTCTGAACGTCTAAAAGCCTATTTGTTGAAGATACATTTGATGGCACACCGACGAGTTAGTAAACCTAGCACAAGAGAACGTTAGGCCCTTGGCTTTAAAAAAAACAAGCGCAAAATACAATGCATCTGCACACGCTTGTGCTACACACTCGTGCAAACTCGTGTGCAGCATATTCATTCTGCTTGAAGTGAGTTGCATCATCTCCCAGAAGGAAGGTGCCGTTGGCACGAAGCTCCAGAAATGCACGAAAAGTACCACAAACATATGAAACCATGTACAGCTGGTCTTGAACATGGGAAGAATCTCCTCCCCAGTCTGCGTCTCCCCATGCCACCACAGAACCATCCTGAGAATCAGGTTCCAAAGCAACTGGATCAAGCACTTCTTGAAAAAGCACCCCGCTCTCTACTGCAATCATACACAACCATATCAAGCCCGGCAACTGCTTTTGTTGCAGCAAACGCTCCATAAGTGCTGCAAATCTGAATCACGTGCTTTCTTATCCTTCACGCAGGCAAAGCAGCCAGCTCATCTGGATGTGAGAGACACAAGGCATCAAGTCTCGACTTGTAACATGCCTTGCACGCAAGCTCTTGCAGTCTTCAATCAAGCCCGAACGCCTCTTGGCAACTGCAGAAGAATCACCACCGCAAGCCGGATCACCCCATGTCACGACAGAGCCATTTCCTCTCCTCGTCGCATGGCAGCACTCATATAGCCGTTTCAACCTTTTCAACACCTTCCTTCACTTCCTTCCTCTCAATTTTAAGCTGAGAGCACCGAAGGTGGCCTATCTATCTTCAGAGCGGAGTTTCAAGGCAGCAAATGCTCCATAGGTGCTGCACACCTGGAAGTGACGCTGAGCACAAGCATGTATATACCAGCCAGCTACATACCCCGAAACAAACAATCTTGGGGCACCATTATTCAGCATCGATTCGTATCGAATCTAGATAATCTTGAGCACACACTAACTGACTCCAACCCGTCTGCACCTGCACCACGTCTTGTAACTCCTGTGCCACAGCAGAATCTCCGCCCCAGTCTGGGTCACCCCAAGTCACGACGGTAGCACCAATTTCTGCTGCTGTAACGGCCGCAAATGCACTGTATGTGGCACATATCTGCCTAGCACGAGGGCCGATGATATTACAAGATCTCAAACGTATGCATATATATAATAATATATATATATATAAAGGTGGATGTCAAGTTTAAGAGTTCAAGAGATTCTGTTGTTGCATGTTCTCGTCTTTTGTGGCGCTGCAGCCAGGGCGCGAAACATTTCGAAGTTCCAGCCCAAAAGAATCACCGCCACATGCTGAATCACCTAGCTGTCACATCATGAGGAGGCAAACGCATCATTGCTTGACGGGCATAGGCCACAGTGTTCCTTCACTTTGCATTTTACACAGTCGGAGAATTGGCATTCTGCTGCTGTGAACAAGCCACGTAATTCAAGTGGAACAGTTGCATCATTAAGTATTGTTATATAATATTATATGATATTATATGGTATTGCAAAACAGCCGCCGCGTGGCCCCACACCACCACCGAGCCATCTTCCTTTGTGGCAGCGAATGCCCCGTAAGTGCTGCAAATATTGCAAACACCTCCAGGCAAGAGTTTTCATCAAACAGCATAACCAAACGTTCAGATTCGACAAAGCCACAAAGCCACGGAAGGCTCCAAGCATCTCAAAGTAAAATAAGAATGCAAAAAGGAATCCAAGGACGCACCTTGTAGGAGTCGGCTGCCACATCCGAACTGTTTCCCGCCCATCTCTTCTTTGCCCCAGGTCACCACGGAGCCATCTTCCTTCACCTCAACAACGAAATGTGATTTTGGACATGGCCTGAACGACCTTAAGTGAGGCAAGGACTAACCCAATACCAGTCCAGGAACTTCCTGTACAAGTGGGGACGCTCACTGCACTGCGGATGTCCACAGTCTACGGGCACACTACACCAAAACAGGGCCGAGATGGTCCTAGATGTAGTCGTATATTTATTGCGGCCCAAGTCTCGGCTGCAAATGCACCATACGTGGCTGAAAGTAGCTTGACTCCAAATTGTAGCAATGGCCCTGCCTGTTCTGCAACAAGTTGGGCGAAGCTTTAACCCTGCGTGCATAAATTCACATGTTTCTCAATTCAATCATCCAAAAAGTGTATTCCCCGCGGTGCGAAACTTTGCCAAAGCCTCACCAGCATCACCTCCAAACTCTGGATCGCCCCAGGTTACAACGGACCCATCCGCTTTCAATGCCTAAGCAATCAGCAAGCAACCCACACTTGCACACGAGTATTGAGTGCAGAGAGATTCCTGTTGCAATTTGGGGCACACACCTCCACCACTTTACATGCTACAGTAGGAATTGTCTCAAATCCCTTGCCCTGATTTTCCCTGAATCGAGCTTTGTGGCAAGGTACGCTAAACGCGGCTTGCGTAGCGGAAATCCTGGGTCGATAGTCATCCCCGCCCAGCGAACATCGCACATGAGTAACATTGTATTGAACGCCAACGACAAACAAACACACCGCGAATTCGTGAACAGCGTTCAACAACTAGCTAGCCCTTGAAAGAGCAGATTTTTTGCCTCCCGACAAGGTCAAACTGTACTTTGAAGCAAACTTAGCAGATTGAGAAACTCAAGGACAAACCAAGGAGCAGCACAACCGCTTCTGTAAGCATCCACCCAACTTTGCAGCTACCACCATAGTCAGGATGCCCCCACACCACCACAGATCCATCCTCCTAGCAAAAAAGAAACTGGACACCAAAGCATTGTCAATTGTTCTTCTGTACTGGTACATTATATATATATAGATACCCAAGATCTGGAGATATCTGGTGCATTGAGTTCAAGCGGAATCACTGCTTTGCGCTTGTATCACGAAACAGCAATTTGTTTCCAAATATCATCACATATCCTTCACTGCCGCGAAAGCACCATATGTACCGCACACATGGGTGATCCCGCTGCGAAGCTGCGAGGCAACCAATGAGGAGTCCCCGCCAAATGCTTGATCCCCCCCAGGTGACCACAGAGCCTCAACCACCAAAGGGGCACTCAATCAAATCCGAATGGAGAAAAACATGTATAACATGTATATAACAGAATGTGTACCTCTATACATGTATCCACAGATATAATGTCGACATTTGATTTCACATGCCCCCACCTAGTTTGGTCTGCCTAGGGTCCTGCAATAACAAACGCCTTTCCACAAAAACCTTCTAGCCCACTCCTGGCCTTACTACTAGGAGCAAGGACGCTACTAGGCGCGCTCCTGGCCATACTACTCGGAGCGAGAAGCTACTAGGAACATAACCCCCCCCATTAGTTTGGTCCACTTTTCCTTGGGTGCCAACTTTTTGACACCCGCCCAGTTAGTTTACCTCCTTTGTATATACTTCAACTTTACTTCAACCCCTTTTAGTTCCACCATGTTCCACCAATCCCTCATCCTATGGTCCTATATTGCCAATTTAAAACGCTTTTCAATTGAGTGTACAAACCAGGTGGGGCGTAGGGAAACGCCCAGGCAACCCTCTCAACCGGAAGGTGGTAGAAGAAGTATGCCAGATCCCTGGAAGCACGGTCCAAATTAATTACAACCCTGGGCGAGTCCGAAGGACGAGAACCCGTGGTTGCAAAGGGGCGAACGAACGAGAGCGGGCGAGCAATCGAACGAACGAAAGTGCGAGATGCGACGAAAGGTGCAAAGCAAAAGCGAAAGTACGAACGACCACAGGTCGTCCCGTACGGCACCCTGAAGAAAACGACCGCAAGGGGCAGTGTTTTCTTGAGCCAATGCAAGCGACGGTCGGGTACAATGTTTCATGTACCTTGGTGAACCGTAGCTAGCTAGATAGACATGTAGTGAATGCTGTTACATACTAGGGGTTCACAGAAAATGACTCCCCCCTCCCCGTTTTGGGGCAGCATTCCTTTGTACATGCACGAATTACCGCGCCGGGTGGCTGCGGTTTCGACGACCTACGAAGGCTTCGAACTGCTCGGAAGGCTCCTATCTGTCTTAGATGGGACTAAGCACTTTAAATCTGTACGGATGCCAAGCAAGCATAGCGCTTTGAACCACTTTTGTGGTGGCAACGCTTTGGTAAAAATGTCTGCAGCTTGTTCATTCGTATCGATGTACTTGATTTCGACAGATGGGTCGTCGATGCATTCCTTTAAGGAACTGAGGTTTATCTTATGTGTTCGGCTGATGTGCCGTAGCTTAGGGGAGAAGCCCTTCCTTACTACAAGAATCGTGGCTTGGTTATCTTCCTGTATGACGAGGTTAACGTCCCGTCCGAGAAGTTTATCCCATAGCTGTAGCGAAGGTAGCCCTTCTTGATATAACGAATAGGCCAAGCTCACTACTTCCGATTCTGTAGTGGATCTTGACGTGGAGGTCTGCCGTTTCGACACCCATGCTAATGGATAGTGGGTGTTAGGGCCCTTAAGTACTAAGTACCCCCCTGAGGTCGACTTCACGTCATGTTGGTCCCCACCGAAGTCGGCGTCCACGAAAAGTTCTAGCCACAGCTCACTAGCATCATCGCCGCAGACGGCGGTTAGTCTATATTCTAGTGAGTGCTGAATGTACTGAATGAGCCGTAGCAGCTTTTTATCGTGGACACGGGTCCACTTCTGCACCTTGGTGGCCAGATCGTTGATCGGCTTAAGTATATCAGGCCGCGCTAACCTGGCAAGCCAAAGAGCCTTCATCAGGATAGAGCATGCCTTTGGTGCGAGCTCTCCGGGCGACTCCTCATCAGCCGTGGTGAATGTGCCGTCGACGAGAAATGGCGTCTGGGCTGACTTTATCTTATCGACACCGGCCACCGACTTGTAGAGGTCGATGGTTTGCTGCGCGTAATCTTTCATGTCGAAGATTAGGGCGTCAGCACTACCGCGCAAAGCAGCGGTCTCGGTGTTTCCTGAATCTGGGACTACCGCGTAGATGTGGTTCCTCCCTAGCATTCTGTAAATAGCTTCGGGTGGTTCAACGTTAACAACATTTGTGAGTTCTGACCAAAACTTTTGGTGGTTCTCCCGTGGGCCTGCCAAAGTGAGGTCGTCAACGTATGTGGATAACATTAAACGAGGACCAGAAAACCAGAAGTTACCGGGGAACTCTGGGATTTCTTCGCCACCCATTTTCTTAAGAACGCCCTTCAAATGCTGTTCCCACATCCCTCCTGCGTCGGGATGTCCGT